CCATGTTTCATGAATTGAATTAGAAATGTAACACAGTGGTAAATATGCCTCTGTCCCAACGTTCTTCTGTCTTTTAAAGGGAAAAAACTCTAATTTTGTTTACATTTATAAAATACTATTATGTTTGGCAGTGATAAAGTTAAATACAGGTTCAAAAGAAATAACAAATCACAGATTCATGTTTTAGTGCATTTTACAAAATGTCCCAGCTTTTCCCAGTAAAGGAGTTTGTAAATAAAATCTGTTTCAAGGATTTTCTCTCATTCTAATAGGACTATTTTGTTGTCTGCCAGCTCAGAATTGAAATGCATAGCCTTGCCAAGGTTGTTGTTCTAATAATTAATAGTGAAATCACCATCATTTATGTAAAATGTCATGTTTGTCTTGACTCTTCTTAAAATGGAGAATATAAAATGTGTGCAACTGGTGTATTTGTATTAGAAATCAGTGGTTTTATTTCTCTTCACGTAAATGAACAGTGTGGTGGATAACAACACTGTCCTGCACGCAGGAGAGCAGAGTTCAGTTCTAAACAGGAACACCACTGCTGTATTAATAGGATATAATCAATAATCTGATAAATAATTAAAAATGTAAAGGTTGTAAAGGTGAAGTGATCAGTTATTGGTGTCAGACTGTTTCATCTATTTAATATTTCATTTGTATCCCTAAAACCAGCCAAAACACAGACTATTATAGACTAATATTCTGTTACATTGTTATAGAACTTAATTTTATCTGTGGACACTTGTTTTTGTAGTAGTGACACAAAGCATCATTGATATGTGGCATTATTTATATTTGAGATGGGAGTATTTATCAGTTGTTTTCTATTTTTACTGTTTTTTCTTTTTTTAAATGTAAACTTTGTTTCAAAAGCTGTCTTTCACGTCCCACTCCATACAGTCTGTATATGGAAATTAAGCTGCAGAAACAGCTCATTAAAGTAACTGTTTTAATGATGTCACGAAACCAACACATTTATCCTCTTCATTCTGCCTTTATTCTGCCCCAACCCATTTACACTGACGTTATAAGGAGAGTTTGATTCCAGACTTCTTTTTGAATGAGGCACAAAACAGGGCAGCCAATCAGAATGTAGATCATTTACATATCTCACTCTAAAAGGAGGAGTAACACAAACAGCAGGCTTAATTCTAATGGATGAAGAGAGGTTTAAATGATGATACAAAAATGAATTACAGCTGTTTTTGGTACATAAAATCCCACAAATGTTCTAAATGAACATCAGTGAGAAAAATACAATACAATAAAAATGAGGATATGAGCTCTTTAATATCTGAGTGGTTTGGTATAAAAGGTGTTTCTAAAGTCGTGTTTTATGATTGATGTTTTCTACACTAAGTACCATTTACTCTTTTTCTTGTAGAATTTCTTATCGGTCTGACATGAGCAACGACATCCATATGTTTCTGCGTTTGTTGATTAAAGCAGCAGAGAGTGAGAGACAGACAGGAGAGAAGACACTGGAGCTGTTATCATCAGTGTGCACTTACAGCTCTTTTCCTTATGGAGATACTGACGACTCTGATCAGAGTGATTTTCTGCTGGATCTGTTCTCACATGTGAAGGACTATGAGACTAAAACAGGCAGGAGTTTTCTTCCAGCATTACAGCCAGTTTACCAGTCAGCTCCTGCAGAGTGGATCATAGACCTCTCAGAGAGAAAGAGCTCCCTCTTCCTAGAAGTGCTGAAACTCCAAACAGTGAAGAAACCAGTAGAGCTGACAGGCTGGTCAGATGAAGAGAGTGAAGTGAGGAGTTTCCTTCAGTGTCTGCCCTACATCTCCCAGCTGAGGTGAGTGTGAAGTCTTTCTGTAATGTCTGTTAAAGATCATCACTGTTGAAGTTATGCTGTGAAATATACAGTCATGTTCAAAAGTTTTTGCACCCCCGGTCAAAGTGGTCATGTTTTATTGTTTTTCTAAGTGAAAATAAGTTACACATCCTCTACAGAGAAAACACTTCTGCACATTTTTAATGCACAAATACTGTTTATTTGCCATATCTAAATATGTTCCCTGAGAATGTTCAGTAACTTATTTTTGCATATATGTGAATAAAAACTCCATGTTTCATGAATTGAATTAGAAATGTAACACAGTGGTAAATATGCCTCTGTCCCAACGTTCTTCTGTCTTTTAAAGGGAAAAAACTCTAATTTTGTTTACATTTATAAAATACTATTATGTTTGGCAGTGATAAAGTTAAATACAGGTTCAAAAGAAATAACAAATCACAGATTCATGTTTTAGTGCATTTTACAAAATGTCCCAGCTTTTCCCAGTAAAGGAGTTTGTAAATAAAATCTGTTTCAAGGATTTTCTCTCATTCTCATAGGACTATTTTGTTGTCTGCCAGCTCAGAATTGAAATGCATAGCCTTGCCGAGGTTGTTGTTCTAATAATTAATAGTGAAATCACCATCATTTATGTAAAATGTCATGTTTGTCTTGACTCTTCTTAAAATGGAGAATATAAAATGTGTGCAACTGGTGTATTTGTATTAGAAATCAGTGGTTTTATTTCTCTTCATGTAAATGAACAGTGTGGTGGATAACAACACTGTCCTGCACGCAGGAGAGCAGAGTTCAGTTCTAAACAGGAACACCACTGCTGTATTAATAGGATATAATCAATAATCTGATCAATAATTAAAAATGTAAAGGTTGTAAAGGTGAAGTGATCAGTTATTGGTGTCAGACTGTTTCATCTATTTAATATTTCATTTGTATCCCTAAAACCAGCCAAAACACAGACTATTATAGACTAATATTCTGTTACGTTGTTATAGAACTTAATTTTATCTGTGGACACTTGTTTTTGTAGTAGTGACACAAAGCATCATCGATATGTGACATTATTTATATTTGAGATGAGAGTATTTATCAGTTGTTTTCTTTTCATTTTTTCTGTTTTTTCTTTATTTTAATGTAAACTCATAGTTTCAAGTGGGTCTTTTACGTCCCACTCCATACAGTCTGTATATGGAAGTTAAGCTGCAGAAACAGCTCATTAAAGTAACTGTTTTAATGATGTCACGAAACCAACACATTTATCCTCTTCATTCTGCCTTTATTCTGCCCCAACCCATTTACACTGACGTTATAAGGAGAGTTTGATTCCAGACTTCTTTGTGAATGAGGCACAAAACAGGGCAGCCAATCAGAATGTAGATCATTTACATATCTCACTCTAAAAGGAGGAGTAACACAAACAGCAGGCTTAATTCTAATGGATGAAGACAGGGGTTAAAATGATGATCTATTATGTGCTAACACCTGCTACTCTCTCCTGGTTTGCAGCACCGTTTAACATTTAAAAATTGGTGTCAGATTAAAGCTTTGACGGTCGTTGAATGGTGGGTTTAAAATCGTGCACTGCTTTCATTTATTTGGTGTCCGTGTGAGCAAACTGAACTTATTTGATTGTTTTCGGGTTTGAAATAGCGCAGCAGGATGCTGTGACACAATATCATAAACGTACAACCAATCAGTGAATAGCTGCATAGTTACATCTTCCCACCAAATGGTTCTGTGGCTCCGAGTACGTTTAGCTAGCCATGCCGAAAAAATGGGCTGAGCCTGGCTTTTCAAGCGTTCCATGCTGAACCGTATCCGTTTGTAAACACCACTGGAAAGGTTACCCTCCATGTTCAGAACCCTTTTGACCCTGCAGTGGAAAAGAGGCCAGGCAAACTCGTGATTCACTCTGCACTGTGGAACGTGACAAATTGCTCTGTTACGATTGCATTATTTGTTTGTGTTTGCTGTTTTTATTTACCCGTCCCTGTGGCTGGTAGGTTGAGTAAATTCACTGCCACTACACAAAATCACCCGTATTTGGTCAGTGGCGGGTGCTAATTTCCAAACCTGTCAGAAACACTGTTGTGTGTGATAATGTTAGTGACTCCTGAACATACAGAGGAGTGGCAGAGGTAGCATGTGTTTATAAAAGAAATGAAGTGCAGTGGATGGACTAAGAGGACTGAGTCAGTCTTCCCCGTCCACACAGAGGATGTGGAAGAAGGCTGCTGTAGTTGCTGTAGTGAGTTGAAAAGGAAGAGGACACTACTCAAATAGATAGAAAACAATTGATTTAAGGAACATAAAGGAAAAATAATGCATAGACAGAAATGGATTTTAATCCGGATTTTTTAAAAAGTCAGTGATGGGACGTTTGTAACCTTTAATTTAACCAGGCAGGCTACTAAGAACATTTCTTTACAATGGCGGCCTGGGTGTCCTCTGACTCAGTGACTAACCATGAAACCATAAGAAGCTGAGCTACTGAGATTCTTCTGAATGTTAGTGTTACAGCAGTAGAAGAGTGATACAGCTACAGGAGAGACTTCACTGCTGCTGGTTTCTGTCTAGTCTTTCTGAATCATTTTCTGTCTGTTCCTGACCCTTTATTAATCCAGTACTTTTAAAGGTCTCTTTTTGAACAGCTAATAGATATGAATGACTGAAAATGTGCACATGTTTACACATATTGGAGCATGTAAAATTCAGTCAGATCTTTCACGATAAAATCCAAGACTCAATCTCATGTCCAAGTGAAGTCCTGAGTCAGTACTAAGTCAGTTACATGACATGAAAATCGTGAAGAATTTTTAGGAGTGTGAAACATTTTACTGACTGATATCTTTTTTTGAAATGAAAGAGAAAATGTATCATTCTGATATTGCAGTTACAGAGGATAATAAGTATCAATGATTTAGTGTCTGACTTTTAGGTTTCACACACACTGACACTCATGTAGTCACTAGTGATTTGATTTCTCAGCTTTAGAACTCGCTTAAATGGACAGTGTAGTGGATAACAGGAACACTGCTGCTGTATTAATGGATAATCAACAATCTGATAAATAATTTACATAAAAAGGTTTACAGTGATGATCATGTCTGATTGATCTTTGCTACAGCTGTATAAAATTAATCAGTATCTCTCAGAGAGAAAGAGCTCCCTCTTCCTAGAAGTGCTGAAACTCCAAACAGAGAAGAAACCAGTAGAGCTGACAGGCTGGTCAGATGAAGAGAGTGGAGTGAGGAGTTTCCTTCAGTGTCTGCCCTACATCTCCCAGCTGAGGTGAGTGTTCATGTTTATTGTGTATCACAATGTGAGACTGTGTGTTTGGTTGGTGTGTTTATATTTTCAGTAAAGCAGTGAATTTGCCACTGATGTGTTCTAAACAAAAGGAAACAAAATGTCAAACAACTAAGTGTTTATTTAAAACAGATTCTTATCATTTGAGAAATTTGTTTGCAGACTTCTGCAGGTTTTCCTCCCAAATGTGCACTTTATAGTTCATGATCCATAAATGAAGACAAGCTCACTGACACCTCTGTAAAAACAGCAGTCCTAGACTTTAAGGTTTCCAGCTCAATTTCTGAATTTATTTTTTCATTACATTTCTGTTTTCACTGTTTCAGAGGGGCTGAGCTGTGTGTCCAGTCTCTGTGTAAAGTGATGGGTTCCAGACAGGAGGCAGAGCAGGTGGCTCTTCTGCTCCAGGCTCTGGACTTCACCGTCTCTCTGGGTGGAAAGTTATCCACCTCCAGCTGCAGGTCTGTGGGCAGAGTGCTGGGCCTCTCATCCTCCAGCCTCAACCTCACTCTAAACCCACAATCCATCTCTCTGAGAGGATCCAGACTTCTCTTCAGACACATCTCACACCTACACACTCTCAGGTATGAACAGAAGACTGAACTCTTTTTGATTCATGGAAAACTGTATCTGGACTTCAGGCTTCATTTCAAATTCTGGTGCCATAGTTTATAAATAACTCCCACATACACTTGAGTATGTCTTCTAAGTTATAGTAGGCTGCTTTATTAAACGTGTGGTCAGAATAAGGGTAGTTAATGTTTATCTTGTGATTTAAAGTGGACTGAAACACTGCGGACTCATGTTTTGACATGCATTTTTTCTTAGTAGACATTTTTGAGTAATGGTTCATGGTTTTCTGTTTATTATGGCATCATTGTCTCATCTGTTTAAGATGAAATCCAGATGTTAATTGTCTAGTGTTTTGTTTTGTGTTATTCTACACTGTGCTGTTTCAGGCTGGATGGTGCTATGATGGTGAAAATGGTACGAGCGCTGAGAGCAGTGAGAGCTCCTGCTCCAGTGACCGTAGAGGAGCTTTCACTCATGCTGAACAGAACACAGCGGTCAGAGGGGGAGCTGTCCAGGGTCCTGAGCAGCTTGGCTTCTCTCCTGAGACTCTGGAATGTCCAGTGTGTGAACCTGACTGAACACACAATGGAGGTTCAGTCTCTCACTGTAATACTGTGTCACCAGGGCTCTCTGACCATCAGGTCTGTGTGGACATCTAGTGAAGCATTTGTTTTTTAAATTAATATTTTAATAATGTTAATAAATGTATTAAAGTTCATTAAACGGTTAAATACTGTGTGTGTGTGTGTGTATGTGTGTGTTTGTGTGTGTGTGTGTGTGTGTGTGTGTGTGTGTGTGTGTGTGTGTGTGTGTGTGTAGGCTGTCTAAAGAGACTCTCCAGCAGCTGGTTGTTGTGGTGTATGAGACTCAGGAGGAGGAGTTAACTCACTGTTTTCTGCAGAAAGTGGGTGGAGATCTGACTTCCTGCTCTCTGAACTGGGAAATGATTCACTATTTCCTGCAGTTTCACACTGTCAGTGTGGACTTTAGGAAGAGCAACATTGAACAGCAGAACATCAGAGAACTTCTGTCTGTACTGGACAGAGTTCAGCTCAGACGGTGAGAGAAAACCCAGCAACATGTAGAGCGACACAGAATTTATTAAGATTAATCACATATAGAATTGGACTCTGGTAGTTATATACTTACATAAATGCAGATTACAAGTCTCAGTCGTTTTCATATTTGGACTGTTTCAGCGTCTGAAGGGGACTCAGAGTCATGGTTTGAGTCATGGTTTTCTGTGCATATGTAAAGATGCCAAGTGAACTCAGACCCCTCCAATCAGCCCCAAAACAGAACCCAGACTCAGATCACTTCCTGAGTGTACATTGTGAAAACAAGACGGTCCACTTATGTTTTGCTTAATGATTAAAAGTCTTTTCTGTTTGCTGATTTTGCTGATATATTTTTTGCTTTTTTGCTTCCTATATTTTTAATTTGCTCTCTGAACTGGGAAATAATTCGAAGGATATAATGATAGCGTCCCCTGGCTAAACATAGTAAAAAAAGAGTAAAATACCTCTGATTACTCCCAGCTATGAGTTACTGCTGCCACAAGATGGTAATGGTCATGTTTAACCACTGCAAAGGGAAGAACTTGTCATGGTTGGCCGTTCTGTTCTGGGGGTTACAAATGCGTGTTCTGCCATGTTGGGGGTGATTCATGCTGAGTGGCTACATGTTTAAAAGACCTGTCACTCCAAATCAGTTGACCTTTAGAGAGTGCAGGTGAGAGTGCCTCTTCTAAGACCCTCCCCCCATGGAAATGTAAAGAGTCAAAAACAAGAGAAATTCTAGAAAAAAAATGTATATCAAATTAAAACAAAATCAGCAAAGACAGGCAAATGGTAAATACATTTATATAGAAATGAGTATTAATCTTTTGATTTGATTTAACTCTCATTATTTGTATTTGCAACATGTTGGGCATTTTGATTCTTAACATTTTGATTGTGTGTAACATTATTTTATTTGAAACTTTTGGCACAAAATTAACTCCATAATCTCCATCATCTGTTATCACTCCTTATACTGGCTGCAATTAATGTTTTAATTGCATTGTCAAATGGTTTAAATACCCATGTCTAGGATTTTTATACATGTTTGTGTGCTTTCTTCACAGCCTGAGCTCCAGCTTTGTACTGTCCATCATCAGAGAGATCTATGAATCTGGCTCTGCCCACTGTGTGTCCAGCCTGTTGAGTTCAGCAGAGAACCTCATCAACCTGAACAGCAGAGAGCTGGACTCTGTCCACTGTGCTGCCCTTCGCTTCACACTGCAGCACTGCACTGCAGTCTCTCTCAGCCTGCTGTGGACCTCCATACCAGAGGAGGAGCTAGAAAGCATTGTGCCTCTACTCAACCATGTCTCCAATCTCAGGTGCCTCATTACAGGATGAGTCAGTTTAGTAGTGATGGCAGAAACAACTTTCCTGAATCAGTGAAGCTTTTCTTTAAACTGCATCAGAAAAGTGTTCATTACTTGAAGTGTTTAAAAACAGTGCACATTACTGACACCTGGTGGTTAAAAGCATGAACAGCAGCTATGAATGTACTCAGTCCTGGGGGATGTTTGAAGGTAAAAGTTTTTCTTCTACCAAATAAAAAGCATGTAATTTGTTCCTAAAGTAATAAAAGTAATTAGTAACTTGAACATGATGCTGGGTGTGTTACATGATAGATAATTGTCATATACATAATCACCTTTAGAGGCTCAAGATACTTTACAGCTGGTGTACAGCAAATTTCCTGACAAACTCATGCATAACCCTATTCATCTATAACTTTGCGCTGGTCTTCCACATATTCTTTCATAGTCAAGGTGTGCACTTCTATATGAAATCTAAAATAAGACATAAATGTTTGGTATGCATAGGCTTGCTTCCAAAGCAGTCATGTGCTTGTGTGCGGAACGAAGACGTCATTGATCATGTGTGTTTTTAGAAAATAAACCAAGCACTGATACAGAGCTTCAGTGTAAAGTGAGTTGGTTTTTGGACACACGTTCTAGAGCTTTACTACAGTTCAGCCTTTAAGAGGAACACGGTTTCTGAAAAAAAGTGAAAGCATTTTAAACTTTTCAAAAATCTCAACCCTCTGAAAACATGCCTTTGTTGCTTTTTTGACTGTTTGTCTTGAGTGTCAAAATACAGTAAAGCACATTTGTGTTGTTGTGTATGTTCTCAGTGTTGACAGGCTGTTGTTGCTGAAGCTGCTCCACTGCTGCAGTGTTTCTGAGGGGGAAACAGCAGCAGTTCTGCTCTCTGCTCTGCAGCACAGACTGGACTTCTCCTGCAGCTCCACTCTGGACCTTACAGCACCCACAAACACACTGACTCTGAGCACTGAGGACTGCAGAGTCGTCTCCATGGCCATCCAGGGAGCTCAGACGAACACAGAGCTCATTCTGCAGGACTGTGAGATGGAGGAGGCTGGAGTGGAGCAGCTCTTCACCATTTTACACTCAGTCAGACTAAAGTAAGGACTAGAAGACCAAGACCAAACTATAGGCTTTTATACAATGCTTTTTATCTAGAAACCAAACCACACATTTATGACAGCATTTGTCTTGATCTCTCTCTCTCTCTCTCTCTCTCTCTCTCAGCTGCAGTAAAGCTCTGCTGCTTCAGTTTCTGTCTCTTGTCCGTGTGGGGACTGAGCTGGACTGTGTGAGGCATGCTGTGGCTCTCTCTCAGGCTCTGGGTGAGGAAGTGGACCTCAGTCAGACAAAGCTGGACTTACAGTCCTGTAGGTCACTGGCGCTGGTTCTGGAACATTCTGAAGGACTTTCAGAACTGGACCTCAGCCACTGCCAGCTCACTGACCATTGCCTGGAACTGCTGCTTCCACACCTGCACAAAACCCACATCCTGGAGTGAGTTATTAGGAGCAATGAGAGCACCGTTATATGTGACATGTTGTAGCTATATAAGATATTTAGGCCATAATACAAATATCTGGTTCTAATTATTGTTTATTTTTTTTCCAGTTTACACAATAATGACATCACTGACTGGGGAGCCATGAACATTCTCTCTTTAAACAGCAATGTGAAGACTATAAGGTGGGTCTGTGTGTGTGAGAGCCTGAAAAGTTCAAAACGTTGTATGTTGGATACAAATCCAATTCCAGTTCTGTTGTGTCAGCTAACAGACACCTGCGCTGGCTAGCATCGCATCGCATTGAGTAATAGGGGGAGAGGAGGGGGCCATACTATCCACCCACAGAAAGAGCAAGGCCAATTGTGCTCTCTTGGACTCCCAGCCACGGATGGCTGCAGCATCACCAGGGATCACGACCAAAGTCACGATCTCGGGGTGATGGGGTCAATGCTCTTCTTACTGAGCTCCCTAAGAAAATAATACAGCTGCATACAACTCATATAAAATGCAGCAACATAAATCCTAACAAAAACAAAAACCAGAGATCACATCACTCCTGTTTTAAAGAACTGCACTGACTGCCTGTATCTTTCAGGATAGATTTTAAAGTTCTGCTACTAGTTTTAAGGCTCTAAATGACCTTAAAGCACCGCTTACATCACACAGTGTCTGTCTGTTTATGTTCCAGCATGTGATGTTAGATCTGCAGATACTGAACTTCTGCAAATAAATAAAATTCAGAAAGCATGGAGATTCATCTTTCAGTTATTACGCTTCTAAACTTATAAACTCAATTAACTTAGCATTTAATTAAAACTCTACATCTCTTGGTATTTATCTTTTTAATTTGATCTGTGTCTTTTTCTTATTTAATTTTGAAATAGTAAGCTTCATCACCTGCCTGTAAAGCATGTTGAGCTGCTGTCAGCATAAAAAGTGCTATATAAATAAATATTTTAAGTTTTGAAATGATAGATAAATATTATTATTTTCATTACATTATCATATTCAGTATGTCTGGGACAGAGAAACAAACACAGTAACATTATTGTGTTTATTGAACACTTACTGCAAATACTAACTTTGCTCTTTAAATAACTTTTCTTTCTTGTATGTACTGTGTGTGTGTGTGTGTATGTGTGTGTGTGTGTATGTGTGTGTGTGTGTGTGTGTGTGTGTGTGTGTGTATATGTGTGTGTGTGTGTGTGTGTGTGTGTGTGTAGGCTGTCTAAAGAGACTCTCCAGCAGCTGGTTGTTGTGGTGTATGAGACTCAGGAGGAGGAGTTTACTCACTGTTTTCTGCAGAAAGTGGGTGGAGATCTGACTTCCTGCTCTCTGAACTGGGAAATGATTCACTATTTCCTGCAGTTTCACACTGTCAGTGTGGACTTTAGGAAGAGCAACATTGAACAGCAGAACATCAGAGAACTTCTGTCTGTACTGGACAGAGTTCAGCTCAGACGGTGAGAGAAAACCCAGCAACATGTAGAGCGACACAGAATTTATTAAGATTAATCACATATAGAATTGGACTCTGGTAGTTATGTACTTACATAAATGCAGATTACAAGTCTCAGTCGTTTTCATATTTGGACTGTTTCAGCGTCTGAAGGGGACTCAGAGTCATGGTTTGAGTCATGGTTTTCTGTGCATATGTAAAGATGCCACAAGATAGCTGGTAATGGTCATGTTTAACCACTACAAAGGGAAGAACTTGTCATGGTTGGCCGTTCTGTTCTGGGGGTTACAAATGCGTGTTCTGCCATGTTGGGGGTGATTCATGCTGAGTGGCTACATGTTTAAAAGACCTGTCACTCCAAATCAGTTGACCTTTAGAGAGTGCAGGTGAGAGTGCCTCTTCTAAGACCCTCCCCCCATGGAAATGTAAAGAGTCAAAAACAAGAGAAATTCTAGAAAAAAAATGTATATCAAATTAAAACAAAATCAGCAAAGACAGGCAAATGGTAAATACATTTATATAGAAATGAGTATTAATCTTTTGATTTGATTTAACTCTCATTATTTGTATTTGCAACATGTTGGGCATTTTGATTCTTAACATTTTGATTGTGTGTAACATTATTTTATTTGAAACTTTTGGCACAAAATTAACTCCATAATCTCCATCATCTGTTATCACTCCTTATACTGGCTGCAATTAATGTTTTAATTGCATTGTCAAATGGTTTAAATACCCATGTCTAGGATTTTTATACATGTTTGTGTGCTTTCTTCACAGCCTGAGCTCCAGCTTTGTACTGTCCATCATCAGAGAGATCTATGAATCTGGCTCTGCCCACTGTGTGTCCAGCCTGTTGAGTTCAGCAGAGAACCTCATCAACCTGAACAGCAGAGAGCTGGACTCTGTCCACTGTGCTGCCCTTCGCTTCACACTGCAGCACTGCACTGCAGTCTCTCTCAGCCTGCTGTGGACCTCCATACCAGAGGAGGAGCTAGAAAGCATTGTGCCTCTACTCAACCATGTCTCCAATCTCAGGTGCCTCATTACAGGATGAGTCAGTTTAGTAGTGATGGCAGAAACAACTTTCCTGAATCAGTGAAGCTTTTCTTTAAACTGCATCAGAAAAGTGTTCATTACTTGAAGTGTTTAAAAACAGTGCACATTACTGACACCTGGTGGTTAAAAGCATGAACAGCAGCTATGAATGTACTCAGTCCTGGGGGATGTTTGAAGGTAAAAGTTTTTCTTCTACCAAATAAAAAGCATGTAATTTGTTCCTAAAGTAATAAAAGTAATTAGTAACTTGAACATGATGCTGGGTGTGTTACATGATAGATAATTGCCATATACATAATCACCTTTAGAGGCTCAAGATACTTTACAGCTGGTGTACAGCAAATTTCCTGACAAACTCATGCATAACCCTATTCATCTATAACTTTGCGCTGGTCTTCCACATATTCTTTCATAGTCAAGGTGTGCACTTCTATATGAAATCTAAAATAAGACATAAATGTTTGGTATGCATAGGCTTGCTTCCAAAGCAGTCATGTGCTTGTGTGCGGAACGAAGACGTCATTGATCATGTGTGTTTTTAGAAAATAAACCAAGCACTGATACAGAGCTTCAGTGTAAAGTGAGTTGGTTTTTGGACACATGTTCTAGAGCTTTACTACAGTTCAGCCTTTAAGAGGAACACGGTTTCTGAAAAAAAGTGAAAGCATTTTAAACTTTTCAAAAATCTCAACCCTCTGAAAACATGCCTTTGTTGCTTTTTTGACTGTTTGTCTTGAGTGTCAAAATACAGTAAAGCACATTTGTGTTGTTGTGTATGTTCTCAGTGTTGACAGGCTGTTGTTGCTGAAGCTGCTCCACTGCTGCAGTGTTTCTGAGGGGGAAACAGCAGCAGTTCTGCTCTCTGCTCTGCAGCACAGACTGGACTTCTCCTGCAGCTCCACTCTGGACCTTACAGCACCCACAAACACACTGACTCTGAGCACTGAGGACTGCAGAGTCGTCTCCATGACCATCCAGGGAGCTCAGACGAACACAGAGCTCATTCTGCAGGACTGTGAGATGGAGGAGGCTGGAGTGGAGCAGCTCTTCACCATTTTACACTCAGTCAGACTAAAGTAAGGACTAGAAGACCAAGACCAAACTATAGGCTTTTATACAATGCTTTTAATCTAGAAACCAAACCACACGTTTATGACAGCATTTGTCTTGATCTCTCTCTCTCTCTCTCTCTCTCTCTCAGCTGCAGTAAAGCTCTGCTGCTTCAGTTTCTGTCTCTTGTCTGTGTGGGGACTGAGCTGGACTGTGTGAGGCGTGCTGTGGCTCTCTCTCAGGCTCTGGGTGAGGAAGTGGACCTCAGTCAGACAAAGCTGGACTTACAGTCCTGTAGGTCACTGGCGCTGGTTCTGGAACATTCTGAAGGACTTTCAGAACTGGACCTCAGCCACTGCCAGCTCACTGACCATTGCCTGGAACTGCTGCTTCCACACCTGCACAAAACCCACATCCTGGAGTGAGTTATTAGGAGCAATGAGAGCACCGTTAAATGTGACATGTTGTAGCTATATAAGATATTTAGGCCATAATACAAATATCTGGTTCTAATTATTGTTTATTTTTTTTCCAGTTTACACAATAATGACATCACTGACTGGGGAGCCATGAACATTCTCTCTTTAAACAGCAATGTGAAGACTATAAGGTGGGTCTGTGTGTGTGAGAGCCTGAAAAGTTCAAAACGTTGTATGTTGGATACAAATCCAATTCCAGTTCTGTTGTGTCAGCTAACAGACACCTGCGCTGGCTAGCATCGCATCGCATTGAGTAATAGGGGGAGAGGAGGGGGCCATACTATCCACCCACAGAAAGAGCAAGGCCAATTGTGCTCTCTTGGACTCCCAGCCACGGATGGCTGCAGCATCACCAGGGATCACGACCAAAGTCACGATCTCGGGGTGATGGGGTCAATGCTCTTCTTACTGAGCTCCCTAAGAAAATAATACAGCTGCATACAACTCATATAAAATGCAGCAACATAAATCCTAACAAAAACAAAAACCAGAGATCACATCACTCCTGTTTTAAAGAACTGCACTGACTGCCTGTATCTTTCAGGATAGATTTTAAAGTTCTGCTACTAGTTTTAAGGCTCTAAATGACCTTAAAGCACCGCTTACATCACACAGTGTCTGTCTGTTTATGTTCCAGCATGTGATGTTAGATCTGCAGATACTGAACTTCTGCAAATAAATAAAATTCAGAAAGCATGGAGATTCATCTTTCAGTTATTACGCTTCTAAACTTATAAACTCAATTAACTTAGCATTTAATTAAAACTCTACATCTCTTGGTATTTATCTTTTTAATTTGATCTGTGTCTTTTTCTTATTTAATTTTGAAATAGTAAGCTTCATCACCTGCCTGTAAAGCATGTTGAGCTGCTGTCAGCATAAAAAGTGCTATATAAATAAATATTTTAAGTTTTGAAATGATAGATAAATATTATTATTTTCATTACATTATCATATTCAGTATGTCTGGGACAGAGAAACAAACACAGTAACATTATTGTGTTTATTGAACACTTACTGCAAATACTAACTTTGCTCTTTAAATAACTTTTCTTTCTTGTATGTTTGCTGTAATCAGTGGGGGTTACACTGTAGTTATTCAGGCCACTGAAGAGGTAAAAATGAAACTCTTTTCCTCAAATACTGTCTACTTACATTTCTGTGTAATGATGAGTGTGTTTTGTCTCCACAGGCTCTTCAACAACAGAATTACACAGAAGAAGCTCTTTATGTCAGACCGACGCTTTGAGATCTGGTGAAGCTGATGGTCATAATGAGAGACTCTTTATTAATCTGCTGTTTGTTCACTCAGGTCCAGATTCTGACTCCGGGTTCTTAATGCACATCTTATTAATTTACTGCTAAATATCTTTACTTTTTCCTGACTTCTGGTGGTGTTCAGAACTCAGTTCATTCAAAATGTTTCAGTCTAGACTGAAACCTCTTAAATAGTTTTTCTCTTCAGGTAAAGAAGCACTTCTGCAAACAGCAGGTTTACAGCCTAGGCTTAAAGACTGAGATCGTGTCCTGAGTTCCAAACACTGAGAGGAAGGCTTTTCCATGGCTCAGGGGCTTTGTATGAACAGATCTTCTCCCCTCCAGTAATATCTTTATACCAGGTACTGAATTATGCGGCTTGTGATCAAAGCAGCCGTGGTGGATCATAATTTTCTGTGAATTCACTCATATTGTGGGATTAGTGACAGTGTGTGAAAAATAGGAGAACAGAGTCTTGTAGGACACCATGTGTCTTATGTACAGGACATTCACTGTTTATATTCAGCAGTCAGTCAGGATCTGAATGGATGACTTAACTACACTGTCTACCCTGTCAGATGCTGCACAGAGATCAAGTAGCACAAAGATAGAGATGGAGGACAGCAACAAATCATCTACTGTCTTCAGGAATGCTTTCCATGTACCTTAATCGTTTCCATAGGCCTAAATCCTAAATGAATATTTAATTTACGGATTCTAATGCAACTCAAACTAAGGTGCTGAGCTGCGGATTTCTCTTGAATAACTCATGTTAAAGGTTTGATTATTCCTGATGGCATATATTTTATAAGAACTGAATCAAGTATGCAGGTACGTGATTTTAAAGATAAGTTCAGCAAAGTTAAATCAGTCTGCTTCAGTCACTTCAATATGAATGAAGTGGGTTGTGTTCAAATGGTGTGGTAGGTAGCAGATTAGATGATTTTAAAATCAGAATTTTCTGTCTAATGTCTATCCAGATTATAACAGACATGCTGACCTGTTCTAATAATATGTATGTAATAATTTTGGCTGCACAGATTTTGATGCTTTGTTGGAAATTTTTTTTTTTTCGAAATTAGTTTGATTGTTCATTTCTGTTTTTATGTATGTCACATATATATTTTGATGACCGTTCTTATTGTTGTAGGCACTGATGGTACGCCAAGGAACTGTCATTTATGCTTTGTCTTTCATTGTTTTTTTTACAGTATGATTTACATTATGCAGCTGCAGTGACAGCTTTGCTGGAGTAATTTGGGATTAAATGTTCAGTGTTACAGGGCGGCACGGTGGCGCAGTGGGTAGTGCTGTCGCCTCACAGCAAGAATGGCCCGGCCGGGCAACCAGGGTCATTTCTGTGTGGAGTTTGTATGTTCTCCCCGTGTCTGCGTGGGTTTCCTCCGGGTACTCCGGTTTCCTCCCACAGTCCAAAGACATGCAGTCAGGCTGGTTGGACATGCTGAATTGCCCCTAGGTGTGAGTGTGTGTGAATGTGTATGTCTGTCTGTCTGCCCTGCCATGGACTGGCGACCTGTCCAGGGTGTATCCTGCCTTCCGCCCAATGACAGCTGGGATAGGCTCCAGCACCCCACCGCGACCCAGAAGGATTAGTGGTTTAGATGATGTATGTATGTTCAGTGTTACAGTATTGAAACTGGCCAAAATGTGGGATCAAACCCATGAACTCTTGCACTATAGACAGTGTTCTGACCACTGAGTATCCACCAGTCTACTCTCTGCCTCAGTCTCAGTGGAAAGATTCTCCCTCATCCCGTACATCAGATTTATTCCTCATTCTGTTCTTCAGTTAAAGACAGTGTGTTTTTTCTAATTTAAGTTCCTGTGATTTTATCTTGAGAATATTTCAGACATTTAATAGAACTTGTGCCTTTTTTATTTGACTGAGTGATGAAGTAGGAACTGTGCATTGACCTTCATGTATTCATTGTCAGATGTTTAGTAGCTGATTAGAAGTAAACCTCTCCTTTCAGAAGTTAGATGAGAGATGTTACAAAGAGGAAACCGAGGAGCTCTTCATTCTTTACTGTACACATCACAAGTACTGTATGTGATACTCGTGCGATTATATTGCCCTAATAGCCAGCAATAAAGAGGCACCTTTTCAGTGGGCAGATTCCGGGATGCCCTGTGGTGGCTGAAGCTACACATGAAATTTGATTGACCACCCAGATCTAATCATGTTTCAGTTTGCAGGTCAAATGCAGTTGAAGTTGGATTTGTGAGACTAAACACATCTCAGCTGTGATGCCATTTTAAAGTTGAACTGATCTGAAAACTGTTGAAACATAGTTATAAGGTTTATGAATGTGTGAAATTGTTATCCAGCACTTAGTCAGCTGAATGTCAGCTAGAAAGCTGGTGAACTCTAGACAGGTGAACTGTATAGAAAAGGGGTATTTAATTACTATTCAATAAGGTCCAGTTAGAGAAAATTTCCTCAAGCAAAGGTCCTGAACATCATAATGTACAACTTGCATCATGATTCAGAGCCATATACTGCAAACTGAAGTAGCCTAGTAGGTATATCAGCATGCAGTCCAGTCATGTTACTGACCTGTTGCCCATTAACCTAATTAGTTGAGATGTTCCACCAGGTGTTTTTTTAGCATTACACAACTTTACCAGTCTTTTGTTGCCCTCGTCCCGGCTTTTTTTGAAACCTGTTGCTGGCATCAAATTGAAAATGGGCAAATGTGTTTCTCAGTTTCAACATCTGATATGTTGTCTTTGTACTATTTTCAATTAATTATAAGATTTAAATGATTTGCACATCATTGCATTTTATTCTTGTTTACATTTTACACAGCATTTTCCTGTTTGCTGTTATTTATCAAGGCACAGGAAATCCTCACAATCCGACTGAACTAAAAGAAACATGTACTGTTCTGGTGCGCTACAGGACAGTCCGAGTAACATCAAACCAACAACCAACGTCAGAGTTACTATTTTGCTGAAAATGGTTCGCTGTATTTATACACAGGTTCTATTAGGTAAGTGAAGCTTATTAAGTGACCAGTGAGTAAAAGTATAAGTGAATGGTGACTGTCCTGCTTCAGATCAAGCACGTCTGATTTAATCATTTATTTGCAAAGACTTGTTCAACAGGAACGCTGGTCGGTTGTGAACCGTCATAAAATTGCTTAAACAATAATGAGGTCAGATAATCTTACATGGAATTATTTGATCTATTTGACATGTTTTTGAGTTGTTTTAGCACAAGAGAAATAAGATCAGCAATATTTCCCCCAGACTGTGTTCTCTATTTCCTTAAATACAAATTCTCCTTTTTAAGTGATATTTTGCACTTGTAACAGCTGCAGTGCTCTGGTTCTGAAATGGGCTTTCAGATTTACAAACATGCTCTGGTACATTGAAAAGATGTATTGTGGGCAAAGATATAGTTGTTAGGCTATAATGACCTACTGAGTGAACCAGTCTGCCACCCTGTGGCAGACCAGTGCTGATTGTGGGTGAAGCAGCTAAACTATGACCTTTACCTGAATCTGTATTTGACCTTCTAGCTTACCCTAAAGGACAGCATAACATCATAAGTTCATTTTCAGGGACCCCCAGAATTTTGAGTTTGAGACATTCAGGGGGTCCAAGAGGTTAATTAGGGAATCCTGGACATCTCAGGAACCCCTGTGTTTCGCACCTAAGCAGGCAAATGTTTGCTTATAGTCCACTTTCATGTGAAAATATAATTCCAGTAACTTCCTGTAATCACTTAGCGAGCAAAATTCAATACAAATGAATTTATGTGAAGGTTTTTGAGACGGTCACACTGTACTGAGTTGACATCTAATTAAAACCTTGCAATAAACAGACGAGTTGTGTTTGTGCTGGACTGTGGCCCTCCAGGACCAGGAGAGAACACCCCTGCTCTGCTCAGTGAAAACAGTCCATCATAGAACCACAGCTGACCAGATATTATTTGGATGGTGGACCACTCTCAGCACAGCAGTGACAGTAACCTGGTGGTGGTATAGTAGTGTATGTGGCTAAATGCCCTCAGGAAGCAAAGGATTAAGTATCTATAACTGAAGATGTTCTAACACAGCTAAAATGCACAGGCCTACATGAAGAGGTCATAACAACAGGAAGCCACTGTTTTACCTAATAGATAGTCATGAGTTGGTGATTCCATTGAGTGACCAATCAGGCTTTAGACCACAGAAGCGTTTACTGTTTAAGAGATCAAAGCAATCTTTTGTCTCTTAAATAGGATCTCATTAACAGTATAACACGGCTCACCGACATATTACACAAACATATCAGTTAAGCATTTCTTAATCGAAAAACATTGATTTTTTCAAACAACATTTAAATGTTCGAGGAGTGGGCAAAATAATGGCAACGCCAGACCCTGTTTTCATTTGATGTTTCCATGATTTCGCCAGCTCCCATCTGCTCAACAGTTCAATGGATGTTTAACTGTTGAACTTCCCACCTGATTTTCTTTAAAACCTGATCAAAAATCATTTAAACAGTCGGAACTTTTGCTCTTAGCTGTTTCTTGAGCGCCACGCCATTTTTTACCAGCAGGTGGCAGCACAGCCTTAAAGAAGAGACGGTGGTCCACCAGCAGCAATTTAGTCACGATAACGACACAAAAACAGGTTAACACGTTTTTAAGGTCTCTGCCAATGGGAGGCCTCAAATCCAGACACACATGCATATTCATAATAGGAATTACTGCACACATTACAACAATAACGACACTTAAAGCCCATGTGTACGAAGCCCCTTCGCTTCATCTGGATTATTCCTGATACAGTGAGCTGAGCTGCGCTGACTCGAACTCATCAGACAGGGGGAAATGACGAAAGAGTAACAGCCCCTTTAAGGAGGAGCCAGTAATCTTAACTTTCTTTTGAACTGCCGTCATACTTTTAGGAACTGCACAGGACTTACTCACACTTTACACTGCTTAACAAGGCAGTGTATTTATTGTTCAGAATATATTTTACATAAATTAAATTAAAACTGGATTTTTTAGATTATTTGATCTGTTGGTTCTGTGTGTTGTTTAAGCAATAACGCCACACCAGTAGGTGGCGGTCAAGCATCATGATTCACAAAGGTTTCAGCTAAAATCCAAATACTAATAAATTAGCGTCTTAACACGTTTTAACGCGTTAACACGCAGATATTGTGCATGTTAACACTACTAATGTTCACGTTAACATTACTAATGTCCACGTGTTAACACTACTAATGTCCAGGTGTTAACACTACTAATGTTCACATGTTAACACTACTGATGTCCACATGTTAACACTACTGATGTTTACATGTTAACACTACTAATGTCCACATGTTAACACTAATGTTCACATGTTAACACTACTGATGTTTACATGTTAACACTACTAATGTTCACATGTTAACACTACTAATGTCCACATGTTAACACTACTGATGTTCACATGTTAACATTACTGATGTTTACATGTTAACACTACTAATGTTCACATGTTAACACTACTGATGTTTACATGTTAACACTACTAATGTTCACATGTTAACACTACTAATGTTCACATGTTAACACTACTGATGTTCACATGTTAACATTACTGATGTTTACATGTTAACACTACTGATGTCCACGTGTTAACACTACTAATGTTCACATATTAACATTACTAATGTTCACATGTTAACACTACTAATGTCCACATGTTAACACTACTAATGTTCACGTTAACATTACTGATGTTTACATGTTAACACTACTGATGTCCACGTGTTAACACTACTAATGTTCACATATTAACATTACTGATGTTTACATGTTAAAACTACTAATGTTCACATGTTAACATTACTAATGTTTACATGTTAACACTACTGATGTTTACATGTTAACACTACTAATGTTTACATGTTAACACTACTAATGTTCACATGTTAACACTACTAATGTCCACATGTTAACACTACTAATGTTCACATGTTAACACTACTAATGTTTACACGTTAACACTACTAATGTCCATGTTAACACTACTAATGTCCACATGTTAACACTACTAATGTTTACACGTTAACACTACTAATTTCCACGTTAACACTACTAATGTCCACACGTTAACACTACTAATGTTTACACGTTAACACTACTAATGTTCACATGTTAACAGTACTAATGTTCACATGTTAACACTACTAATGTTCACATGTTAACACTAATGTTCACATGTTAACACTACTAATGTCCACATGTTAACACTACTAATGTTTACACGTTAACACTACTAATGTTCACATGTTAACACTAATGTTCACATGTTAACACTACTAATGTCCACGTGTTAACACTACTAATGTTCACATGTTAACATTAC